TGAAAACAAGAAGTGATATGGGAGCACACTTCTGCATTTTGAGTATCAGATCATAAAAAGGCATAGGCTAATTTAGAATTTCACACCATGATCCAAGACAACTTTTTTTATATATAGGCACATTATCATATCAATAGGCTATCATTCATTGTCTGCTGTGTTAATTAGGCTATGCAATTTTGCTAGGCTAACTTTATTTATTTATTTTCTTCATAAATAAAATTTCGTTGAAAATAGTTTTTGTTAAACGTAAAAAAAATATTTAAAACTAAAAGTGAACTAAAATAATGTCATTCCACATCATAGGCTATTGTTGGTTTTATTTTCAAAATACTCTTGCATGTATAAACGGCTCCTATCAGTGATTCAACAAGCAGCGTGAAGGTGGGAGATGTGACGCTTGTAATCCAATTGCTTATCAGCAACAGACAAACATTTCACCTTTTATTTGTCGCTCTTGGCCAAATAGAACAGCGAAAATACATGTGAATGCAGTTTTACCGATTATACGGTTATGATATGTTTTGTTTACATTTTATGAAATTAAAAAACGTATTTTCTTAATGAAATCTGATGAACGGAGTTTTTAAGCATGTATAAAATAGCCTACCTCTTAAAATTGGCTGTTCAATTTGTGCACAATAAAATGGATTTTCCCACGGCTGTCTAGAATTTCAATATCAAGAAAGCTCATTAAGTGCATATTACTGAAACAAAGTTTACATAATGTGGCATGAATATAAAACACATATGAATACATAGTGCTATTTGCAATGTAAATACTCAACATGCATAAGAGAAAGCTGGATTAGCCTATTATGCATTTCATCTTATGAATTTCCTAAAGTTTTACTTAAGTTACATTTTTATTCAGATTAAATGCATGATTTGTGTACTTTTGGAAAATGCAAATATATACAGATACACCTCACATTCCCAAACACGTCCTCACCCAATGAGAAAACCAAGTTCATTCACAAATTCACCGTCAGCTGTGGCTTATTGTCTCAGGTGACCAATAGGAGAGGAGATGGTCAAGACCCCAGCCTCCAACTCCGATTGATTAGGAAAACCTGTGCGGGGACAGGATCAGAATTGAGATTTGGAAGAGTTGGTGTTGGTGAGTTTCTAGCCCGTCCTGAAGGCCTAATTGATGGCTGTCACACCAGGACTGCGCACATTTCCACACAAGCTGATATTGGGACGCACAGTTTGAGGCTTTGAAATTTAATTTGGTTTACAAAGTCTGGTATTTCTACAAGAGCATCCTGGCATGGAGCTACTGATCGCCGTTTATTGACTATCAAACCAACAGCCTCAACGCTTTCTTGCTTGAAATCTACAGAACTTTTTTGTGAGAAGATGACAGAGAGACCGCAGAGCCCGACAGAAGTGGACTGCAGACCCTACGAGGTCAACAGGGCCGTGTACCCTCAAGCGACGGGCCTGGATGGACTTGGCGGTGCGTCTTTGCAGTTCGCGCACGGCATGCTTCAGGATCCAAGCCTGCTTTTTAACAAAGCCCATTTCAACGGAATCAGCGCTGCGACACACCAAACCTTCTTCCCATTTTCAGGCGATTTTAAAACGAACGATCTGCAAGGTAGTGATTTTGCGCAACCCAAACACTGGTACCCGTTTGCTGCACCCGAGTTCACCGGGCAGGTCGCGGGAGCGACGACAGCCACCCAGCCGGCGAACATCAGCCCGCCTATCGCTGAAACCAGGGATCAAATCAAGATTCCAGCTGAGGTAAAAACCGAAAAGGATGTTGATGAATACACCAATGAAGAAAACAAGCCGACGTCACAATATAATCTCACACCGGGGATATCATCCGTGCCCACCGGGGTGAATTATTACACACCCTGGAACCCCTCGTTTTGGCCTGGACTGCCCCATATTACGGCCCCCGCTAATATTTCTCAAGCTCCCCCGACACCCTCCGCATCATCCCCATCGCTGTCTCCATCTCCACCCGGAAACGGGTTCGGAAGCCTGGGTTTTTTCAACGGAGGCTCCGTGCAAAACATCCCTTCGGCTCAGGCGCAAAGCGCAGCCAGGAGCAGCGGCTCCTCCAGTGGAGGGTGCAGTGATTCTGAGGAGGAGGTGAGGGTTTGACCTAAATGAAATTTTAATTTAGATATACCTTTTTTGTTTGTGGGTATAATTTAACAACTTTCCATTTCCATTTTTAGGAGAATCTGACTACAGAGGACTTGGAGCAGTTTGCCAAAGAGCTCAAACACAAGCGCATCACTCTGGGTTTCACGCAGGCAGACGTGGGGCTCGCGCTGGGAAACCTCTATGGTGAGTTTGAAGTAACCATTATATAAACTTACGTATGAAGAAACAGTTTCAAGCTAACTGTTTAAACGTTTTTGTGTCTAGGCAAAATGTTCAGTCAGACGACTATCTGCCGCTTTGAGGCTCTCCAACTTAGTTTCAAGAATATGTGCAAACTGAAGCCGCTGCTCCAGAGGTGGTTGAATGAGGCAGAGAATTCCGAAAACCCTCAGGATGTAAGTACACTACATTAGCCTACTGTAAAGGGCGCTCAAAAAGGCGACCCCTGTCGTTGAACTTGATCATATTTTACCTCGGTCACCTGTTTACTTGGACACGCGGTGACCGGTTAGTATAGAATGCTAGTGTAGCCTTTTAGTATGCGAGTTGAAAACTGAAAAGCTAATCAGCGTAAACTACATACTGTAGTATACAGTGAGCTTTTTAAGCTTTTCAGGTGTGTGCTACATTACACCATTTCACCCTTCACCAGTGTTGGGAAGGTTACTTTGGAAATGTAATGGGTTACAGATTACAAGTTACCCTATTTAGTGTAATTATTTTAAGTAGCCTACTATATTAAAGTAATGCAACTGATTACTTTTGGATTACTCTTCTAAATTTCTAATGAATGTTTTCAACTCTTAATCATTTTCATACATTTAAACCAGGCAGGGTTAACATTTACTATTGTAGTACTACATTGAAATATCAAGCTACAAGATGACCTGCAAAACTTGCCGTGTTTTTGCTGTTCATTATGCAATACATATTTGACCATTCAATTCAATGATTGACTAAGCATAAAATGTTCCAGAAATGCTTGCATAATTGCACATTTAGTTTGAATCTCTTATTTCAAACATATGTAGAACAAGTTTATTGTGCCTCATCACCTATTCTTCGATATATTCCAGATGTACAAAATTGAACGGGTGTTCGTCGACACAAGAAAGAGAAAGCGGAGGACCAGTTTGGAAGGCACAGTCCGTTCTGCTCTGGAGTCGTACTTTGTGAAGTGCCCCAAACCCAACACTCTGGAGATCACGCACATATCTGATGACCTAGGCCTGGAGAGAGATGTAAGCATGCCTCAAAGTCTTTGGATCCATCATATTTAGAGCCTCTAGAACCAATTTGACCTAAACTGTGTCCTTTTTTTCTTTAGGTAGTACGTGTGTGGTTCTGCAACCGTAGACAAAAGGGAAAACGTCTAGCATTGCCCTTTGATGACGAATGCGCTGAAGCACAGTATTACGAGCAGAGTCCACCACCTCCGCCCCACATGGGTGGCACAGGCCTCCCAGGGCAAGGCTATCCTGGACCAGCCCATCCCGGAGGAGTCCCTGCCCTATACATGCCATCCCTCCACCGACCGGAGGTCTTTAAAAACGCCCTGCACCCTGGACTGGTGGGTCACCTCACCAGCTAAATTTTATAGAAATGCTCCAAGCCAAGCTATGGATCAAATCGGTCATATGATTTATTTTGATGTAAACATTGCATCTGTTTATTTGGTTCTTTCCATATGTGCCTTGGGACGCTCTGATTGCACACTAGCAGTCTGATGGATCATTGCATAATGGGTGCCTTGTTCAACTAATGTGTTTGCACATGAAGCCATAGGTTCAGATATGATTTTTATCAGTTTTTATTACTTTTTGCTCCTGTATCAATTTGTAATGTACATATGTTTGTTTTATTGTTCAATATTTGATGATTCCCAAAGTATATTTCCATATTTGTCTCCGTACTTTGTAGTTTTTCTCCACCTTTCTGTGTGAACTGCCAGCAAATTCAAGATTTCATGAGCTTAATTTTGTACTACAATTTGGAGGAGACCTTTTTTAGATGGTTTGCAAAGGACATCAGTCACTGTTCTTTTTTCTCTAAATGCTTGCACTCTCCCATCTTCAACTGAAAATGATTCTAGGTGTAATATCTTTTTATCAGGGTGATAGATGAAGTTTGCTGCCAGTTTGAAAGCCTCTCTGTGGAGGTCATGTGCCTTATCTTTTTGGTGTGTTTATTATGCATGCTCATGCAATGTAAATGAAAGCCATATTTGATCATTTATTGCTCAACACATACAATATCATTAGGTAGCAATTAAAACATTTCCATTGGCAGTCACTTCTTGTTTATTTATTTTTTACAGATGAAGTTCTTGGTTTAAAACTTTGATCATGTTTTATTGTATATCAATGAGCTTACAATTCAATCTAAACTTATTCACTGCAAAGAAAAAAAACAACAGTTTGATATGGGTATTGAGTTTTATTTGCATTTAGCATTTTCCCCCCCAAGCACACATCTATGACCCACCAGGTTTTTTTAAGAATATTTTAAAAAAAATTGCTGGTTTGCTTGCAAACATTTTTCATCATTCAAGAATCCATGTACACAGGATATAAAAGCATGTTGACAGGAGAGGAAGCAAGGTTTGCACATTGTGGTTTCTGTTTGGCACCATGGTCCTAGCAGTATAAATCGCAATAGAACTTCTGTGTTTTTATACTTGCACAGGTGCACACCAATGCTCGGTGCTGTATTTATACATAAATGGTGCTGCTGATGCTGTCAGTATGAATTCAAATAAATACTGCATCATGTAACCTGTAAAGTGCTTACGGACTACTCACACAGGACGTTTTTGCATTCCACTGCACTGCTTTCCCATGGAAACATGCACTAGATGGGCGCATTTGCGCTTGTTTTTTATTCAGCATTTCACACGACTAAAAATATACCACAAGTTAACAAGTTTAACTTTTAAAAAAAGCATATATTTAGACCTTGCATTTTCCAATGTTCAGCATTTTCTAAAGCAAGATCTAAAGAAAAACAGAAGTACATTAAAGGATCAAGGTATTGCAGAATTCTTACCTGTGCCTTTGGGGAACGTGTCTTGTGGGGAAGACCGCAGCTGTCGAGTCCCTCGAGAAAAAAATGTGATGTGGAGGATAGGTGGAGGCCTGTCCTGTCATTTAATGATGGAAAGATTTGCGAAATGTCTTGTAGGAAACAAGGGCTTCCTGTTAAGATCACTCTAACTTTGTTCTTCCTCCCTTTCACGTCTTCCCCTCCCATTTTGCATCGCCCCTTGATCATTAAAGCATCAAACTTGACACATGCCACATTTCCTCATTAACAGGTCCAGAATGTAGAACATGATGTTATGCCTTTCAATGTAGCATTCCTTCTAATAAATGTCTGCTTGATGTTTACTACCTGAAAGGGCATTTAATATTCAATTCAATTCAAGTTTATTTGTATAGTGCTTTTTACGATACAAATCGTAATGCGCATTTGATCAGATATAACTGCAGTCCAAGATTATGAGATCATAGGAGAAAATGATTGAATGTCCTTTAAAGCATTGATTTTACTACAAACTGTGGCTAAAAGAGCAGAACGAGTGAGAAACTTGGCATTAGCTTTTTCAATTCTGTATGTATCAGTGCGTGTATCAGTGTCTGTTGTCGTGCGGTTGTGGTTTCTGAACTGTGTGCCGAGGGTACTAAAATACTACAGGAGGAGGAAGTGAGTATTAGCCAAACTCTTCGCCTTACGCTCACACGTTCATCCTCTCCTTGTTGCTGCCTGTGCTTTTATTTAAATAGAGAATTGAAAAGTGGCTGTTGCAAACCTTAATGGTTAATTTCCCATAAGAAAAAAATGTAGAAATATCCTGAAAAGTACGAAATTTGAGTAAAAACAATGTGATATCACTGTTGGTCATACGAAAGCAGGTTGCATGAAAACATACGAATGAGATTGTAAGAATTGTTTCATAACTGAAGAATTTTACAACATGAATAGTCTTCTGTTATTTTATGTGAAGCTTCTTTGAAACAGTCTAAAGCTCTGTAAATGACTTAAAGACAAGAAAACAGATGAAACATTCTAAATTCATGTTATTAGTATTAAAACGTGTTTTTTCAGAACCCTAATTACATATTTTTGACTCTCACTTTAAACTACAGACCCAGCATTGCATCACAGACCTAATGAAAATATCAGCTGATATATATATATTATAAATGCTGATGTTGGTTGACCAACATGTTCTTTCTTGGGAAGTGGTTGACCAATGCTGTCTTGCAGTATTGTTGTCATTTAGTCATCCTCATTACAAACCTGTATGACTTTATTTCTTCCATAGAACATGAAAAAAGCTATTTTGAAAAATGTATTTTTTGTTGTTGTTCATAAAATGAAATTCAAATGTTGTTTTTGACCCCACTGACTTTGCATGGGCTAAAATATTCTTCAAAATATTTTCATTTTTGCTCAACAGAAGAAAGAAAGTCACGTTTCCATTTTGTTTTTGCTGTGACCTCAGAATGTTAAAAGCTGTGGGAAGTTGTGGCCTAATGGTTAAAGAGTTGGACTCGTAACCCAAAGGTTGCGGGTTCGAGTC